ATATTATTTTTTATTATTTTATAATATTTTATTATATTAAATATACAAAAATTTATTTTATACCTATAATTAATAATGTACATGTCAAAGTATAATTATTCACATATAAACAATTATAATAAGTCAGATGGGATCATTCTGAAAACTGGCTTTTACCGAGTCAAAAACAAAAGTTTATAAAATCGAGAGAAAGGTACGTCAACATTTTACTCAATGACGAGGACTATAAATATATGAGCGATCATGTAATTGATGGGAGCAATTTACTACCCGCGACAAGTTATTTGGGACTCGTTTGGAAAACAATTGGCTTGATAAAAGGGTTAATGTACATAACAATACCGATAGTTTTCCGAGATGTAAAATTTATTTGTGCTACTCATTTATTGAAAAATGATGCTGTACAACTATATACTCGTATTGCAATACAGACAGGTATTTACGATATAACTGATTTTAATTCTAACTGGGATTTTCTCTGATATTTCTATAATAGTATTCGCAAGTTCATTATACTTCAAATTATTGTTTAAACATTTAATATTATATAATTTTTTATAAAGCAGTTGATGAAAATATCTGGGTCCGATGGATTAGTGAATATCGCGATTACGATTAATGTAGTACGATAACAAAAATGCAAAATAATAAAATTTATATAAATATTACAGATGAAAAGTTTGAAATAACCGAAAGAGATAGCGTTGTTGTCACAGGTACAATGTACGAGGCATTAAATTTAGAACAAGAAATGATTCCGATAAATCTATTATTGGGAAATAATGATGAAGATGAAGATATGACTGCACGAGATATCTACAAAGAGTTAAAATTGCGTGGATACCAATACAAGGGCTTATTTCGTGGATTAAAGAGTGCCTCTATTTCGGGAAGTCAAGGACATATCGCTTGGAAAAATAATTGGGAAACATTTATGGATAGTATGTTACAAATGCAAATTATCGGATACGATACTAGGGAATTATGTGTTCCTACGAGTATTCAAAAATTAGTAATCAATCCAGTGCTTCATGCTTCGAAACTACGAGATAATATAGATAATGCAGAAGTTACAAGAAACATGGATAAACGTAATTGACTTCCATTACTAAAAGTCCTTCGTTCAATTCATAAATATTGTGTAAAAGATCTCCATAATATGTAATATACATTATTTTACTTGTCTTATTATAGTATTACAGGTACAAATATACAAAGAGATAGACACGATAAAAGCTGGCGGAGTAGAGATTCCAGGTTTGAAAGCTACTCAGATCTCTCGCCGGAAATTAGCCCAAGATGCTGTTATCGAGGAACATACGTTTGTAGCTCATTGTGATCGTGTTAAGATTCCATTGAATGAAGCAATTCGATTATCAGCCCAACTCGTACTGGAAGATCATCAAATTATCAAAGTGCAAGCTGCTGAGCTAGTGGGAGACGTCGATGATATTGAATTAAAAAGTCTTTCGTCTTCGTTACTGCTTGAGGCATTTGATGATATGCCATTGGTACAAACAAATATCACTTTATTAACATCATCAAATCGTTTCAGACCAGAAGATTTACCGCAAAACTTTTCAATCAAAGCTTTTGAAAAAATATCTTTAGAAGACAAAGTTTTAATCGCTGCTGGATTCAACCTTTTGACCAAACAACTCGTATCTTTAAAGCGACTGTTGCCATTTTTGAGAGATGGTGGTTATTTGTTGACGCGTGAGAAATACGACATAACTGATTATAAAAAACATTTACAGCAATACAAATTAAACGTTATTCTCGAAAAACGTACTGATAAAGAACTAGTTGTGCTTCTGAAGAAAAAAGTTCCAATAAAAGAAAGGATTGTTATCCACATAAGTAATGATAATTTTAATCGGCTGGAAAATCTAAAACCGTTGATAAACGATGAGAACAAGCTCAATGAGAATAATAGAATCATAATTGTTGGAGAGAGAGATTTTGAGTGCGGTTTATTAGGTTTTGTTAATTGTTTGAGAAAAGAGCCAAGTGGAGAACTTGTTAGAGGTGTGCTTCTTCAAGATGAACAGGCACCTAAATTCTCTCTTGAAAATCCCTTCTATCTAGAGCAATTACAAAAAGATATGACCATTAATGTACTATGCTCTAATAAAACTTGGGGATCGTACAGACATTTGAAATTACCACAACCCAAAACCGAACTTGTATCGACCGCTCATGTTTGTCAAACGGTAAACACAAAATTTTTCAGCGCATATTGATCGTTATCCTTATAACATTATCTATCGTTTTGTCTCTTAAATGCATAATTATACTTGTCGGGCGGAAGATTAAATACTCTTACAAAGCTCCTTTTTAAAATTGTTTTGTATATGTTCTGTCATAAAAAAAATTTTATTCTTTTATAGGTTCGTGGTGACTTAAGTACATTTTGTTGGATAGAAAATAATCTATTAAACGTGTGTCGTCGTAAGAATTTGGTGCACGTTGTCTACTCATCTCTGAATTTTAAAGATATAATGCTCGCCACTGGCGATTAAATTAACACTTCATGATCTAATTTTACAAGGACGATTATTTCAATACCTTCCTCTTGGAATAGAATACGTGGGTTTCAATGCTGACGGACAACGTATAATGGGAATTCGTGATACTAAGTATGTAATGCTACAAGAAATTATTATGCTGTGATGTCATAGAATAGACAGTAATTAAAAATTACTCTTACTAGTTGCATAGCAAATGTTGTTGAGAAAGATGAAGATCTTTGTTGGTATATACCCGATGCATGGACATTTGAAGAGGCAGTAACGGTCCCATGCATTTACAGCACGGTCTATTTAGCCTTATACGTTTATGGGAAAATGAAAAAAGGTGATAAAGTACTTATACATTCTGGTACTGGAGGCATTGGGCAAGCAGCTATTCATCTCGCTCTTAAAGAGGGATGTGAGGTATTTACTACTGTGGGCACGAGTGATAAACGGGATCTTATTAAAAAAATATTTCCGACTATTTTGGATGAACATATTGGAAATTCTCGAGATACTAGTTTTGAACAAATGATAATGCAGCAAACGAAATGTCGCGGGGTCGACATTGTGTTAAATTCGTTGACGGAAGAAAAATTAATCGCTTCCGTTCGGTGTTTAGCTCAAAATGGTCGATTCTTAGAGATTGGTAAATTCGATATTGTTTCTAATAATCCCCTAGATATGTCTGTATTTCAAAAAGGTATCAGTTTTTATGGTGTTAAAATTGAAAATATGATAATAAAAAATAGGGATTACAAGAAGAAACGTTTATTGTTCACATTGGTCGAAAATGGTTTAAGTGATGGAACAATTAAACCAATCCAAGCAAAAATTTTTTCAAAAACAAACGTTGAAGAAGCTTTTAGATATATGGCGAGCGGAAAACATATGGGAAAGGTATGCTTGTGCTGAAACATATTATAATAATAGAAAAGTTTATTCGTAAATAACAACATTCTATAGTTTCACACGTAACATGAATTCTTTTAATACGATTATTTTTTAGATAATTATAAATATTCATGAAAAAGATGAACCTTTAGATAAGCACATTCTTACATATCGTCGCTATTATTGTCTCAAAGATAGGAGTTACATTATACTAGGAGGCCTGGGCGGATTTGGTTTAGAATTAACAGACTGGCTTATATTTCGTGGTGCCAGAAATATTGTTCTGATTTCAAGAAATAGAATAAAAAACGGTTACCAACGTATGAAAGTTCGACTTTGGAAATCGTATGGCGTAAACGTTCTGATCATCAAGAATATCGATGTTGCTGACCTCAAGGATTGCAAATATCTTTTAAGGACTGCAGAAAAAGAAGCTCCGGTGGACGCTATATTCAATCTGGATGTGGTACTAAGGGATAGCGTCCTCAAAAACCAAACTGCAGAAGCATTTGCAGAGTCCTTCCAATCGAAGGCTCGTACAACGCAAATGCTGGACAAACTTTCTAGGAAAATCTGTCTTAACCTTCGACATTTTGTGGTGTTCTCTTCCGTTTCCTGCGGCAGAGGAAACGCTGGCCAGACGAATTATGGCATGGCCAATTCCATTATGGAGAGAATTTGCGAGAAGAGAGTGGAGGAAGGATTACCAGGATTAGCGATTCAATGGGGAGCTGTGGGTGACGTAGGTCTTGTCGCTGATATGCAGGAGGAGGATAAGGAATTAATCATTGGTGGTACTTTACAGCAAAAGATTTCCTGCTGTCTCGATGAGCTTGATAAGTTTTTACTTCAAAATCGGCCGATTGTGAGCAGCATGGTCGTAGCTGAAAAAAAAGTGGGACGTCACGGATTGGGAAATCTTGTAGAAACAGTTGCTAATATTTTAGGTAAACGTTTCTATCAAAATTTGTGCAAATTTATTTTTTTTTTAAATACTTCTTATATTTGTTTGCTATATCTTATGTCTTATATTTGTTCTAGTTTAGAAGAAAGACATTATAGCATGTATAGATCGTTATAATTTTATATTTTATATTTTACAGACATAAGTGACACGAAGACTGTAAGCTTAAATTCGTCTCTGGTTGAACTTGGCATGGACTCCATGATGTCCGTGGACATCAAACAAATCTTGAAACGAGAATTTGATATATTTTTTGCAACACAAGAGATACGAAATCTCACTTTCGCAAAACTCATTAAGATGTCCGTTGCAAACATCAGTGACGATGACGTAAATGATAAAAAGAAATTCGACATAGAGAAGTCAGACGTTATAAAAATTTTAGTTGGTATTATATTAAAAGATGAAGACTTTGTTTCCCAAAATGATTTTTTTATTAACAAACAGAATACTACGACTGAAGTATTTCTTATTCCGGGTATTGACGGTTGCGGTACTGTATTTAAAACCATAATACCACACATTAAATTTTCAACATGGTTATTGCATTATAGCACGAACAACATGGATTGTACAAACATGATAACGGAGACTACTAATCGCCTCACAAACGTATGTAATCGTATTAGTAACTTCATTTTATGATAAAGAATTGTTTTCATTTAAAAAATATAAATTTCAAAAATATAGATATTTTTACAGTAAATACTTCCAAAGCTAACAGATGGAAAAGATTTTGTAATGGTAGAATATTCCTTCGGATCTCTTATTGCAATTGAAATATTAGTTAATAACAAGTTAGTAACAAGGATGTTAGAAGCTATGAATTTTAAAGGCCGACTTGTTCTCATTGACGGTGCTCCTGAGGTAGCACGAACAATGTTCAAACCTTTTGAATTTGATTTCGATGACGTAAATTTTCAAATTGATTTATTAACTAATATTCTGGAAAGCTATTCAATAGGAAGTTTTCAAAAGGTATATGCAACTTTTGGACTCACATTGAAACTAATTCGTGGTATATTTATATTATTTTTCGGTTTCTTTATGTAGATCAATATCAATTTCATCTTTGTCCAATTGCCCCCCTCCCCCACTATGCCAAAATAAAAAAACTCATAGCTCAAAATTTGGAGCAATTTATGATCTTTCAAACCTCGAAAAAAAATTTTTTTGTTCTCGTCTGAGTTAGTAGAAATTTTAATTTAAAAGTGGAAGGGCTGAGTGGATGTTCACTTTTTAAAATTAGCAATTCCTCCCAGGCTCAAAATTAGGAGCCCTTTATGAATTCTTAAATTAGTGCTCTTTCGATTTTCGAGCTCCATCCCTTATCCTCAAAACAAGATATTAAATCAGCAGATAATTTTCCATCATAAAATGATTTGTTTTCCCATTCTAGAACATAATTCTCTCTTGCGTGAAAAGTGCAGAAATTGGTTTTCCTGTTAAGAGTTGCAACTCAAAAATCGTGCGTATTTTGCGAGCTCCTAAATCAGCAGATAATTTCTTATCTTAAAATGATTTATTATTCCTTTTTTGGAACATAGTTCTCTCTTGCGTAAAAAAAGGTGATTTTTCTGCTAAGGAGTTGCAGTTCAAAAATTAATGATTATATATTTTTGTACTAGATTTATGTCAGAATTATACTCATTAATGAAGTTTTAGATGTAATCCTATTTTCGATGACTTACCTCTTAAGTGTAAACTAGTTTTTGGATTGTTTTGGGGATAAAGGATGGAGCTTGAAAATCGAAGAAATACTTATTTAAGAGCTCCTTATAGAGCTCCTAATTCTGAGCCGATTTCCTATTGTTAATCTAAGAGTGAGGGGAGGCTGAGTAGACTTAGCCGTACCTTTTAATTAAAATTCCTGCTAACCGGAATGAGCTCAACATTTTTTTTGCAGGATTTAAAAACTCATAAATTGCTCCAAATTCTAAGCTGCGTTTTTTTATTTCAGCATGATGGGAAGGGGGGAGCAGCTGAACAAGGATATCAATTCCTTTGCTCTGTCTTATAATCTTGTATGTAAAAACAAAAATTTTTACATTTTCGCAGATTTTAATGGAATTGAAAAAATGTGAGAGTTGGGATGAAAAATTTAATATTTTCGCTAAAGAATTCTCAGTTATATATACATATCTCTCATTTGCAAATTTAAAGACGTTGTGTACAACGATTTACAAACATTTTTCCGCTCTTCAGCAATATAATCCTTCTATTGTACATTGCCGCCTATTAAGTCTCCCATAATGTTGCTAACATGTACGCATTTGTCAAATATGATTGCGATCAAAAAAGATTTTTGTTTGCATAAGGTATTTAAAAAATCTATACTCTTTGATAAATTAAATTTAGCAAATTTTTTTATTAAT